TATCCGGTGCTTTGGACAGATGCTTCACAGTGTACACTGGGCGAGGCACCTGTACATTTTTAAAAGATGACTGAGTGCACACAAGCTTGCCTTGTCCAACAGGTTTGTATCTGGAAATCAGAGTAAACTATTTGTCAGGGAGAAAACAACAATGCACTTTTCACAGCTTAAGGTTTGCTTTCAAAACACGTCTCCAAGACTAGAATTATGTAACAGACCATTTTGTCCTCTTATCAGTCCTCCTATGCCACCACAATGTGGCTCACTGCCACTGAAAGGCCAAAAGATTTGCGCTCCTTTTCATTCATGGGCTCTCTTCTACTTCTACTTCTGACACCCCTGAGATCTTCCTATTCCTCATAGCTTCACCTGTGGAGCATCTTCCCCCTCAGTCCACCCATGTTCATGCAACAACTCCCACAACTGTCATTTTCACCTTACACATTCATCAGGAAATAGTGAAGTGAAATAGTGATAAAATGGCGGATAGTGTGTGTGCAGTACAGCTCTATGTATCCATCCCCAGACATTGTGTAGATATACAATGCCATGGATAATAGTGAATCCTATTGAAAGGAAGGACATCCACCTCAAGAATATCATAGTAAAGTTAAAGGTTTCCCTTTACATTAAGTCTAGTCATGTCCGACTCTGGGGAGGGTAGTGCTCATCTCCGTTTCTAAGGTGAAGAGCTGGCGTTGTCCGCAGACACGTTCAAGTTCATGTAACTGGCATGGCTGCATGGAACACTGTTACCTCCCCATCGGAGCGGTACCTATTGATCTACTCAACCGTTCTGAGTCCCTCTTTGGAGGTGGAGGGTATAAATATGTATATGTATATGTATATGTATGTGTTTTATATTTTTAATTGGAATATTGTTGTTTTAATATTGTAAACCGCAATGAGTCGCCGCCTCAGGCTGAGATATTAGCGGTATACAAGTGTACTAAATAAATAAATAAATAAATGTTCTAAATAAATAAATAAATACTCACATTTGTATGTTTTTGAACAGCTAGGTTGACAGAAGCTGAGCCTAACAGCAGGAGCTCACCCCACTCCCTGGATTCGAACAGCCAACCTTTTGGTCAGCAAGTTCAGCAGCTGAGTGGTTTAACCCACTGCGCCACCGGGGGCTAAGACTATCATCGAGTCATGCTAAAGGACCTGGAAAATGTCGATGAGGCATATTTTGTCAGAAGTGAATAAACACAACTGTGAGAAAAATTTCAGGGTTATAGGAGTCATACTATACTTTCACCTTAGCTGCTGCAACATATTTGAAGCTGGATCCATGTGTTCTGGTTAAGATCTGCTTATTACTATGAATTCACCCCACTTGAATCAATGGTAGTGGACTAAGCAGTGCATTGCTCCAGGCCCACCAGCCGTTAAGCATTGTGCTGCCTTCAGTACCTGTCCTGTCTTCCCACAGACACAGCAATGACTTGGTGAACATGACATCAGATACATGGTGTTCTAGATATGTTTTTCCTTCAGGAGGCCCACAAACAAGAAAGCTGAAGCTCATGAAGATTGACAGTACCACACATTCTGAAAGATTTGGGAATCAGAATTGAGCTATACTGCTGATAAAAATTCAAGTGTGGATGGTGGCAAATGCCTCCCCACAATAAAAATTCAAGGAAGAACAGCCAGTTTCTTTTCCATCGATGCAGGCAGGCTTTCAACAGAAGCAAAGCTCATGTGGGAAGAAAGAAGAAATGCCATGGAGAAGTTGAAACTTTAAAGCATCTTTGCCTGCTGTCAAAAACAAGATACCAGGCAGATGGACTTCAGGCTGATCCAGCAATGCAGTTCCCATGTTCTTTAAAGGCCAAGTAAATTTAGATTTTCCATTGTCTAGTTCAATTACAGTCCACACATACAGCAGTTTATTCCAGAGTGCATCTGCGCTAGTTCCAAAGTGGTTGGCACGCACCAGGAAAACAATTAAGGGAGGCACAGAAGGAGTAACATGTGTGTTTGTAGTGGGGTGGGTCTGAACGTTTTGCAAAATGTCAGATTTCCAAAGTGTAAAATAATGGTATATTTCAAATATATTCCTTGAAGCGAGCCTTCCTCGTTTTGATGGAATTAACTTTGAAATAAAGATAAAGCTTATGCTAATTTGTTGTCGAAGGCTTTCATGGCTGGAATCAATAGGTTGCTGTGAGTTTTCCGGGCTGTATGGCCATGTTCCAGAAGCATTCTCTCTTGACATTTCACCCACATCTATGCCAGGCATCCTCAGAGGTTGTGAGGTCTGTTGGAAACTAGGCAGGTAGGGTTTATATATCTGTGGAATGTCTAGGTGGGAGAAAGAACTCTTGTCTGATTGATAGGTGTGAATGTTGCAATTGGCCACCTTGATTAGCATTGAATGACCTTGCAGCTTCAAAGCCTCCTGCCTGGGGCAATCCTTTGTTGGGAGGTGTTAACTGGCCCTGATTATTTCCTGTCTGGAATTCCCCTGCTTTCTGAGCATTGCTCTTTATTTACTGTCCTGATTTTAGAGCTTTTCAATACTGGTAGTCAGATTTTATTCATTTTCACTTATTCTGATTTCAAGTATACAATTTAGACAGTGTTTACAAGAGTGCAGAAGGATCTAGCAATGTAGGATTGTGGTGGTAAGGATAGAGCTGCTAATCGGGGGATGGGGGCACTTGCCCACCCCTCTACACCTCCTCTTTGGTACAACTTCTGTAGTTCCAATGACTTGAACCGTGCTGCTGCAAAATCAAGTCCTTTGGGATTTGGAGTTTGGCAGATAAGATTCAAAACTGTGGAACTAACAGGCTAACACTAGGAGATGTGGCAGCTTTCCAAAAGAAATCAGCTGCATGCATCTGGGATCCTACAGAGAACTGCGCCCAAGGCCGTTCACTCCAGCAGGTGCACCACTGGCCCAGGTTCTACAAACATTTTATAAACAACATTCATTTCTGGAAAGAGCATTTTCCCCATTCTTAGAAAAATGGAAGCACTCTTACTCCCATTTGTGAGAGAACAGAATGAGTAAAAAGGAAGCAAAAGTTATCTAAAAGCCTGTCAAAGTACAGTCTCCATCCATCACAAAAAAATCTTTTTTGGAAACTAAATACAGGTTGATTATCTCTTATCAGGAAATTCAAAATCCACCAAAATCCAAAGCTGCCCCCAGAGGTAGCTGTGATAGCAACACCTTTGGTTTCTGATTGTTCAGTGTCCACAAACTTTGATCCATGCACAGAGTTATTCAAAATATTATATAAAATGATCTGTGTATAAGACAGCTATGAAACATCAATCAATTCTGTGTTAAGACTTGGCTCCCATCTCCAGAACATCTCATTAAAGTAAAGGTAAAGGTTTCCCCTTGACATTAAGTCTAGTCATGTCTAACTCTGGGAAGTGGTGCTCATCCCCATTTCTAAACTGAAGAGCCGGTGTTGTCCATAGACACCTCCAAGGTCATGTGGTCCTTCCTGCTGGAGTGGTACCTATTGATCTACTCATATTTGCATGTATTCAAACTGCTAGGTTGGCTGGAGCTAACAGTGGGAGCTCACCCTGCTCCCTGGATTCAACCCACCAACCTTTTGGTCAGCAAGTTCAGCAGCTCAGCAGTTTAACCTGCTGCGCCACCAGGCGCTCCTGAGCTTACTAGGTAGGCAAAGGTAAAGATTTGCCCTTGGCATTAAGCCTTGTTGTGTCCGACGCTATGGGATGGTGCTGATCTCCATTTCAAAGCTGAAGATCTGGCATTGTCCGTAGATGCCTCCAAGGTCATGTGGCCGGCATGACTGCATAGAGCGCTGTTACCTTCCCATTGGAGCAGTACCTACTGATCTACTCACATTTTGATTATTTTAGAACTGCTTCCAGTCGGAAAGTTCAGCAGCTCAACGGTTTAACCCGCAGAGCCACTGGGGTCTTCATCTCATTATGCACATGGAAATACTTCAAAAAATGTGGGGAGGAGTCCCTTCTAGTGCCAAACATTTCAGAGAAGGGATGCTCAACCTATATTCTGAACTGAAGCTGTACTCCTTTTAAAAATTTAATCTGTCTTGAGCCCAGTTTGGGGGGAAGGTGGGCTACCAATCCAATGGGGCCATGAAACCCTTTGGGAGATGTACACCTAGAGCCAAGGACAATCCTACTTCTGGATGATCAACCTGTATTCTAAACCACTGACAAGTTAACCTTGTTGAGAGCTGGGGCCAAAGAAAGTTCCACTTCTGATCCCCAGCATGCCAGAGCTGTATTATAAACTTCCCTTGCTGTCTTTTTAAAAAAAAGTTTTGCTGAGGGCTGCTTTGAGCATCCAGCTTTTGAGAGAAAAATGTAAAGGCTTCCCGGACATTATGTCTAGTCAAGTCCGACTTTGCGGGGTGATGCTCATCTCCATTTCTAAGCCGAAGAGCCAGCATTGTCCGTAGACACCTCCAAGGTCATGTGGCCGGCATGACTGTTTGGGGAGTGGTATTATCTTCCCACAGAAGCAGTACCTATTGATCTACTCACATGTGTATGTTTTCGAACTGCTGGGTGGGCAGAAGCTGAGGCTAACAGTAGGAGCTCACCCCGTTCCCTGGATTCAAACCACCAACTTTTCGGTCAGCAAGTTCAGCAGCTCAGCGGTTTAACCCGCTGTGTCACCAAGCAAGGTACAAATGAAATAAAGCCATGAAGGTCTTTCTGCCCCAAGAATTTTGAAGCAGGGATAATCAAGCTGTATCATAGATTTAAAAAAAAAAAAGGGTTCTCCTTGTGGAGAGCTGCCTTGAGCTCCAGCTCTGGGGAGAACGGCTGGGCACAAAGCACTTTGTGGGAAAGGTGAGGCTCAGGCAAGCACCCAATAGCCAGCAGCACCTGAGAAGGCGCGCGCCGGGAGCCCAGGAAAGCGGGACCTGTGCAAAAAAAGTTCACCTGCTGCGCCCTTGGAGGAAGGCGGCGCTCCTAGCTGAGCCCCCCCCCTTCTCCTTCTCGGGGTCCCCCCTGAGCCTCACCTGTTCCCGGGGGCGGGCGTGGGGCGGCGAGGCGGCGGATCTCGTGGGCCCACTTCTCGGCCAGGCGGCGGTTCTCGGCGGGCTCGCGGGAGGCGCAGGCGCCGAAGGTGCGCACGAGGCGCTGCCGCGAGACGGAGGCGTCCCACCAGCAGGAGCCCCTCCGGGCCGGGTAGAGGAAGAGCGTGAAGAAGGCGGCCGGGGGAGGCTGCGGGGCGCCGGGGCTCTGCGCCGCTTGGCAGCCCACGCACTCCGACAGGCACACGCTCCACGACGAAGACGACGACGACGAGGAGGAGGAAGAGGCTCCGTCCAGCCTCCGCACCCGGAGCTGGGCGCCCTTGGTGAGGCTCAGGGCGTAGTTGGGCTGCGGGTCCGGAGCCAGCGAGAAGGTCCCCGAGAGCAAAACTTCCTCGCCGTCTTCTTCTTCCCCGGGAGCGGCGCTTGTCCTGCGCTCCATGGCTTTGGCTTCATGGGCTTGAGGAGGAGGCAGGAGGAGGCAGGAGGAGGAGGAGGCAGGAGGAGCGCTCCGGTCCCCGTCCGGCTCGGCACTGAAGAAGAAGGCGGCGGAGGGGAGGGGAGGGGAGGGGAGGCGGCGCTGGGCGCGGAGGAGCCCCCCGGGGCGGCGCAGGCTCTTTGCTGCCGCGGGCAGGCCGCTCCCGGGAAGCGCAGGGGCTCCTCGGTGCGGCCCCCAGGGCCCCGCCCGGGGCAAAGGCAGGAGCCAGCCGGGGAGGGAGGGAGGCAGGGAGGGAGGCGGGGCCGTCACGCAGGGGAGCCGCCCGTGTCATAATTAGGAGCGGGTCACTCGCCCTGGGGCAGGCTGCCTCCCCGGCACGTGGCCGCCTCTGGCCCTCTCTGTGCTGACCCCGGAATGCACGCGGCGGCCAAGCAGCGGACCCCCAACAGCCGGGCCCGGGTGTGCCTCGGGGCTCCCTCCGGATTGTGCGTCCTCCTCACCGTCCCATGGAACCCCCCTCTCCCTCCCTTCCCCGTCTGAAGCTGCATTGCCTGGTTGTCCAAGGCTTTCAGGGCTGGGATCACTCGGGTGTTGTGGGGTGTCCTTGCTAGAAGAAGCAAAGACCACCCGCGCTGAAGGGATGCTGGACTGGCCACGTCCTCCTAACACCCCATCACTGTTACTATATTCCCAACTCAAGAACAGAAAACAGAAAGTTGGGGGACAAGAAAAGAGATTGAAAGATAGGCTTCAAAACACTGACAACTGGGAAGCCCTGGCCCTTGAATGCTCTAGCTAGAGGTCAGCTGTGACCAGCAGTGTTGTGGAATTTGAAGAGGCACCAATGAAGGGCAAAAGGGAGAAATGTGTCAAGCATTCCTCTTTCTTTGAAAATCTCATTCAAAGCACCCCCAGCAGACAGAGGCGGCCCTAGGTAATTTTCAACAGTAAGCAAACAGTATTTTGGCACACACACCCAACCAATCACTGATATATATTTTCTGTTCGTCGTGGGAGTTCTGTGTGCCATATTTGGTTCAATTCCATCATTGGTGGAGTTCAGAATGCTCTTTGATTGTAGGTGAACTATACATCCCAGTAACTACAACTCATATATGTCAAGGTCTATTTTCCCCCAAGAGCGCCTCAAGAGTGCCCCTGGGCAAAATCAACTATACCGCAAATGCTTACTTCGCGTAATGGGTTGAGCCGTCCCTGCCAGCAGATGCCCATCCAGCCTCTGCTTAAAAGCCTCCAAAGACGGAGCCTCCACCACACTTCAGAACTCTGTGCCCCAGAGTGTGGTGGAGGCTCCTTCTTTGGAGGTTTTTAAGCAGAGGCTGGATGGCCATCTGTCAGGGGTGTTTTGAATGAGAATTTCCTGCTTCTTGGCAGACGGTTGGACTGGATGGCCTACGTGGTCTCTTCTGACTCTATGATTCTATGATTTTATGATAAGCCAACCCCTACCCTTCCATCTGGAAACCAATGTCCTCTCTGTGGAAGAACATGTGGGTCAAGACTAGGGCTCCACAGTCACCTACATACCCACTATCAAGACCCTACACTTGGAAGGCCATCATACTCTGACCACAAGGGATTGCCTAAGTAAGTAAAAGAAAGTGTGGTTTCCAGGCTGCATGGTGGCATTCTAGTAGCATTTTCTCCTTACCTTTTGCCTGCATCTGTGGCTGGCATATTCAGAGGATCCGTATACCATGCAGTGTAGACAAGTCTACATAGGGACCACCAAACACTGCATGGCTTAAACATGAATCAAAGAACATGAAAGGCTCTGCAGACTAATTCAACCAGAGAAGTCAGTCATAGCAGAGCACCTGATGAACCACGCTGGGCACAGAATATTATTCTGAGAACACAGAAATGCTGGACCACTCTCACAACCACCATGTCAGACTACACAGAGAAGCCAGTGAAATCCACAAGCTTGTGGACAATTTCAACAGAAAGGAGGAAACCATGAAAATGAACAAAATCTGGCTACCAGTATTTAAAAAATAAAGAGGAACACTCAACAAGCAGGGGAATTCCAGACAAGGATCAATCAGGGCCAGCTAACACCTCCCAACAAAGGACCCCCAAGCAGGAACCAGCCAGGCTTGAAGCTGCAAGGCCATTCAGTGCTAATCAAGGTGGCCAATTGCAACATTTACACCTGCCTCAAGCAGAAAAGAGTTCTTCCTCTCACCCTGGACATTCCACAGATATATAAACCTCCCTTGCCTAGTTTCCAACAGACCTCACAACCTCTGAGGATGCCTGGCATAGATGTGGGTGAAATGTCAGGAGAGAATGCTTCTGGAACATGGCCATACAGCTCGGAAAACTCACAGCAAGCCATCCCAACAACTACTTCCAGCCTGGGATGGCAGCCACAGATATCCACTGTACACAAATCAATCCAAGCCCAGGAATCGTTTGTTTCTTACCTTGTCTGCCAGAATGTGCTGATGTGCATCACCATGATGGTTCAGAATCAACTTTAAAGTAAGGCAGGTTACAGGAAAGGAAGGCAAAGGAGCAGAAAATTGAACATTCCCAAGCAGACAAAGTGGTTTCCTCTCATGGTGGGGTTGTGTTTGTTTACCTTCTGGCCACCTGCGTTTCCAGGTTTGTAAAATGCATCAGCGCTAGCCCTGTCCTGACTGACTCTTTTCAGTTTCAGATTCCAAACCTGTATGGAATAGACTCTGGTCAGCAGATGCTGTGGCTTAAAAAACCAGTGGTTTTTTAATATGCTCTTTCAGGCTTAATGTTTGCTGCAGCACACATTGGGGGTGTACATTTTGTAGACACCATAACTTCAAGACACCTTCAAGCTGCATTCTCATGCCTGTGTAGAAACTACCCAAAGTCTCACAAAGTTTAATTAAAGTAAGCTAGCGGTTGCTGAGGGGCACATCTACACTCATCACTTAATGCGGTTTGAAGGCTGCTTGACAGCATGGTGTTGATATGACACATGCTGCAAACATGTACTGCAGCACTCTTTAAGGGCATTGACACAAATTTGGGAATACTCCAAGACAGACTTCTTGATGAACGTCAGTGCGCTTTAATGTAAACCCCACTGCACAGCAAAATCAATTAAAGGACAGGGTGCTCCAGTGATCTGCACGTGAGCATCATGGCAGTGAAGCCAGTCTCTGTGGTACATATAATGGGGCATATAGTCTAGCGATCCAGATGACAACCAATGGGGGAAATGGTCTGTTTCCATAGGCCTTCATAGAGATGACAGAAAGGCAAGCTGGAGCTATATAGAAATATCTCAGGGCACGTGTTAACCTTGGTAGCTATGAAGGGACAATGTCTTGGTATCTGAATTCTTTTGTGAGGGCCAGATCCTCTGGTGAGGATTTCATGTACACTTTTCATTCCTGAAATACTGCCTTCATTGTTTCACACAATCTCTCAATAATGTGGAAATTGTGATTTGTTGTCATGCCATGCCAACGCTTGGGTAAGCAGAACAGCCATCTGGCTGCACTTCTGCAACTTTGAAACTGCATGGCAGGCAGAAATTCAGTAGGAAAAGACTTTCCAGCATGGAAATACAATGCTATGAAAAGATACAGAGGGGAGACTTCTATCTGTCATACTTTTTAAAAAGAAAACCACAATAACTTCTCTTTCTGATACTGGAAATAGATCTCACTGAACCAAATGCAGCTATGTTCCTATGCCTCCATTGACTTAAGCTGTATTGTAGCTCCTGCAGTGCCCCCAACATCTATAAATCTTCCACCCATGGAGTGCTTCTCTTACTATGTATGGAGAACCCCACAACCAAGGAAGAGGCTACACCAACACAATAAAGGAGGTCACCTTGCTTGAATGATGTGTCATATCCATGAAGTGACAAGCAGAAATGCCAAACTAAATGCTTCATCAAGCATGGCTCCAGATTTCCTTCCCACTCAGACCCAAGGACAGGCTGCCATCTTTCCTTATCTCAGTTTAGCTTTCTCCTTGAAGCAATGTCAGAAGGGTTCATAGATGTCCCTTTTCCCCCCCAAAGACATGTGAACCTTGTCAACTTTTTCTGGGCCATTGATATAAAATACAAAGGGGAAGAGGTGAGAGGAAGAATTGCCCAAGGTCATCCAGTGGCGTTCCATAACTCCCTGGTCTCTAGCGTTGTGAAATTACACTGGTTCTGTCCTTGGAGTTTTTTGGCACCAAATGAGTTAGGACTAGGAGCCCCGGTGATGCAATGGGTTAAACTCTTGCGCTGGTAGGACTGAAGACCGACAGTTCAGAGGTTCGAATCCGGGGAGAGCACAGATGAGCTCCCTCTGTCAGCTCCAGCTTCATATCCACATATTCTGTATCTATGGATTCTGATTGTAAATTTATAGATATATTTTAAATCTGTAAAATCAAATCCCCAAAAACTGATTCAGGTCAATATGGAGCAAAGCGCTGGTGCCTTGGTCAATCTCACTCCAGATGACAAGCAACCAGGAAGACTCTCTTTTACCTCCACAGCAGCCTGAGTGGCAATGGTGAACCATCCCGGGGCCAATCTAGGTCATGCCATGGTATACTGGTAGGTGTACAGCCTCCCCAAATAGGGTCCTGGAATCAAACCCCAGCAAATAGTAAGGCCCCACTAGATTTGGAAGTCAGCATGGCTCATAGAGTTATGCATAAAGTAGACACCTTTGTAGGCTGCCATGCCTTGCGCTAGCGTAAGTATGCAAACATTTTAATAGTAATATGGAGCACGATGAACATACTACATGATACAATAATTCAATTTGTCTGTGATTATGTTTAATGGACAAAAAGCAGTATGTCTCATTAATATAGTTAATAATGGGATCACATCCTACAGGGAGTGACTCATCTACCTGTGTAGAGTATGATGTGTTTAAATATGGTTTACTTTATTCATTTTACTATTTTAATTATGTTTTCAATTAAAATATTGCAGATAAAGTATATATTAAAGGGTTGACCAAGATAAAAAGGAATGCATGATTACTGTATATCGTTTAGCTGAGCGCTTCAGTAGTGAGGTTGCAAAGAGCAAGAGATGGCTACAGAACAGAATTTGATTGACTATACTTTCCCAACCCAGGGAATAGTCTGGCGTGACTGATTACAGTAACCTGGCCTAGTTTC